AGGCCACCTACGCAGAAAGGTGTTCAGCCGCTGATCCCCCTACTGTTTACTTTAATCTGAACAAAATAATCGTATCGTATTTCCTTTTGGTCTGGCTTTCCATTTAACAGTTCATTATCAAGTACGGTCAAATAACGTAGATAACAAGACGGGACAACTCGTTATAATTGTAGCGAAAGTGAGTAACAGGGGCGTGCCTTCTCTTTTCATCCAATTAAAAAACTTACTAGAGCAAAAGTGAAGGCACGCCCCTGTTACTCACTTTTGCTACAATTAAAACGAGTTGTCCCTTCTTGATATCTATGTTCATTGGTACGGTNGAGCTGTAATATACTAAAGTATTTATTTGTTTGAACGTGCGCACTCTAACTGCGCATATATTGAGTGTAAATAACCTGTAAATTTAGTGGAAAGTGCATTATATATTGTAAAATAGTGCCATACAAGTTGGTTAATATTACAAACTTTAATAACAAATTCCTTAAAAAGTATAAGGTTGCGCGCTTTGAAACTTCATACAGGGAACTATTAGACCCCCCACTACCTCCCATATTTTCCTTAATGCTGTACTCCGGGGTTACCAATCTAAAGCCCACCCGAAATTCATTCAGTGCTATAATTACGATTTGAGTTCTCCAGTTTATAAAACACAAGCGTTAATTATGTACTTAACTATTGATATTATTCTTCATTAAGCATGAATATCAGCATATATTAAAGATGAATATTATATTTAACCTACATTTTGTTCATAAATAACACATAATTATGTGTATTTTATCCTCGAAAAGAACATTTCTAAACATGACCCGAAATTCCCCACAGTAAGTGTTGCCGTGCGCGCAAAACGAAAATGTTGCACACAACCCAAAGGTACTCCTCGGGGACCAAATGGTGTAAAACTGCGAAAAGGTTTATTACCGTATATACTGTGTATTAAAGTGACACACAAAAATTGTCTCCTGTGTCAAAAAAGAAAAGCAAATAAATTTGAAAAATTGTGATAAATTTTAAATTCGATCAAATCCGGAACGTAAACGTCTGACAACAATAATACTTTTTTTTTGTAGGGAAAATCGACTACAAAAGTACCAATTAAATTTAAACGGATTTAAAAGGGTTACAATTCGTTATTGTGAAAATCAATTAATTTACAGGGAACTGTAAGAAGCAACTAAATGGATATGAATTTTGCTGATTTGAAAAAGGAAGCAGCTGCTACCGCTGCGGATGTTTTTTCTCCTACCGCTGAAGCTGCAAAGAAAGCAACAAATGACACATATGACTTGCTAGGTGGTAGTGGTTGTCGCGCATCAACGAGCGCACGAGATGACAACACGCACACGGAACACTACTTTGAAAATGAGCAGAGGGGTATTGATTTTGAACACGTCGATCCACAATCTTTCGTACAACTTATGTCTGCTGGTGCAAAAGAGGCACAGGTGCAGTTGGATGCCAAGTTCGCACAACGTAATGATTTCGACGACTTCTTTTCCAATGCATCTAAGGATTTACAGTCTATTGGTCAACCGTTGCAACGTGATTTTAAGCAGAATGCACATGATTTTATTAATGCCGAACGTGGGCTCTTTAGGACTCCTGGGGATATTGCGGCTCCTATACCAGCTACAGTTCCACGTGTACACAACCACCCAACTGAGTCAGCTGGCAAGGAAGAAGATTTATTAAATTTCAGTGATGGCGATACCACACAACGTGCGCAACCATTTTTAGAAGATGTGGGTAATAAGTTTGCGCCTTCTGCACCAGCAGCGCCTGCAACAACCACAAACACTTTTTATGACGATGATCTAGGTGTAGGAAAATCAACCCATTCCGCTTCCAATAAGGACTCGGATACAGATTCTCCGTCTTTGTCTTTTAATCCATCACCGGCTAAGAAAAATCCAGTAATAGCTGCCCTCAAAGAGCTGGATAATGAAAAATTTATATCATCTGAAGATCTACTGGGGGATTTCAAAGAAGAGCGTACGGCAACACCTCACTTCCACACTACTGGGAATACAGCTAAATCTGAAACTATAACGCTGGTACAGCTACCGAAAACTTCGGTACCCGTCACTGATTTAGATGCAGAAGTGGAGCCTGGGTTTCCTTCTTCACAAGTCGAAGAAGTCAAAAATTATGTGTTGTCGAAGGCTACAACCGCGACAGGTACGAAAACAGCCGATGAAGCTGCCATTGCAGCTGCAACCAAGCCAGCCGCTGTTACTGAGCCCGCTGGTTCCACCTTAGCCAAAACATCTTCGATCTCGCCTAAAAAAGATACAACTGAAGCAGTCAAAACCAGAATAGCGTTGCCAGTTCCTACAAAGGAAAACAAACTCTCGCATCAACATTTGGATCAACCCAAGATTGTTTCTGTAGAAGAAATTTTCTACAAATATGGATTGGGTGAGTACAACAAATTTCTACATACATACATGAAATTTTGTCTAATAAAGAATCGTATTTTCTGGTAAATTTTTCTCGAACTTTGTGATTCATCATTTATGTGTATGTTTATTTACAACATACAGTTGCCCACGAAATAGTAAAAGTGCGATCTTTTGACCAGTTTTGGGAATTCTTTTGTTTGTTTAATGTTTTATGAAAGCCTAGCTGGTTATACAACTAAAACAATACAAAATAACATTTCAAACCTTTTAATCAGAATCATTTGAAAAAAAATCGGTACGCAGTTTTTTAGCTTTTTTATTGCATTATAAAGGAGTGCAAGTTTCAAGATGGTAAAAAATCCCATATGTTCGACAAGTTTTTTTTTTATATGGAAGACACTGCCAGCAAAAAAAATATTGCCATAATCAACTGTATTTTTTGAAGGCAACTTCATTAAACTAGAGTTATGTGGGCTACGAAACTGCCTCTGAAAGTTTTTTTCTAAAGATTCTGATTAAAAAAGTGTACACCTTAGTTATTTGTACAATGATTTTGGGTTGTTGTGTCCAACGGCGTGAACCGCAACTAAAAATAAAAACTTTACCATACTGTGTAGTCGAAGGACCAAACTTTAATCTAAAACAAAGATTCAAATTTCCGAGCACTAGTTTATGAATAAATTCTGTTCGAATTATTCTCCGTCGGCTCCAAATATATCCGGAATCCGGCTTATCCAGCCGTTTTATGTTATCCAACAATCCGGCCGTTTTTATTTTCAGCCTAATTGCGTAAGTCGTGTCAACATCTACTACCGTACTGAAATAACTAAACGACAAAAATAGTCGAAAACGATGCAGTGCCGCCAAGTTTTTCTGTTTTAATACACTAGTCGAGCCGAAATTTAGGCAATGATATGAAATTTTCGATACTATTGGACTCTCGAAAATCGATTTGCATTCGACAGACTCTCGCAATGAGGCTGTTTATCCGACAATCTGGCAGGATACTGGCTAAAGTCCGGCCGGATTTCTGGATATCAATTTTATAGACATGGTGACCATATTAACTAACGTAAAATAAAGGACTTGTTTGAAAATGAATTGGGAATACGTACACACTATTTGTATGATACAAGTACCTTGCCCATATCGTAATTTAAATCAAATGGTTCATGCAGCACCAATGAGCTGAGTGTTATTTCTGGTTTCAAATGGCTGCATATTAGGGCGGGTCGAAAATCTATTTTTTCTCAAATCCCTTGGTAATAGTGAAAATATATTCTATCATGAAGTCAACAACAAGCCTGCAAAATATTAGTATTTTATTTTAGTTGTAAGAGCCCGCGCATCGATCGCAAGTGACCCACAGCACACTAGTCGAATAAGACCAATTCTTGTTGAAAATTCTGGGTTCGGCAAAAAGGTTTGGTGCATATTATTTGATAATGAATCCGTTTACGCAAAAGATAAAGACAAATTTCATTTCTCGCAGCCCTTTAGCTTATCTTTAATCTCAAGGTTATTTGTTTTCAATAAAATTTGAATTGTTCCCTTGATAATTGCACTGGCCTATTGTCAAAAGATGTAAAGAACAGCTTTAATATTGCTGGCGTGCATTTAGGTCGCTGGTTCCAAATATTCTAATCTTTTTTTAATATTAGCTATAGTTTGCGAATTTTTGCAAATTTAGGAACAATTTCGGTAACTCTAATAGAAAAGCCATTATTTGCCATCATCGTGGAAAATTTTTGTTTATGCAAATGAGTATGGAAACACTGAACAGGCACAGTTTCTAGAAACACATTAATAGTTTACTTATGTTTATGCATACAATATAAAAATTGCAAATATAAGAAAATGACAAAAAAAATTGTTCAAAATTTTTTTTTATTTTAAAATAATTTGTTTATAATCTGAAAGATTTTAATAATATTATTATCAAAAATCAATAACATTAAGTCTCGCCTTCAATTTGGTAATTATTAAGTACCGATCGAGTAACATTTACCAAAGTTATATCGAAAAACTTAAGTGGATCTCCAGTTTTTTTCTAAAAAAAATTTCTCTTCAATTGTATAAATAACTTCTAAATGATATAACCGGATTCCAGAAAAGTGTGTCGGGAGTGACTTTTCGTTCAAGCTAAATGCAAAGCAATATCGTCCAATTGGAGAGTCCTCAAAAGGATTTCCCAGGATATGTTAAATACTATTGCATTTACCTGCAGTCACTTTTTCACATAATGGAATTAACTAAAATATGTATGTATATCTAAACACTTATTGCACGTCCCCTACTTTCATATAACGACAGATTTAGAAACCGCGAACAATTTTCAAGACTGCATAAATGGACTTAAAATGGGCGTTTCTCACCCTAATTGTATTATGTTGATGTATGTAAATACTTATATGCTTGAAACTACTATTAACTTATCAAACGATTCCTAATCTTTGACGATACATGTTTGACTTCATTCACCACGATCTTGAAAACTGATCAAATCGGCGGGACCAAGTCCATGGTCCTTTTAATATTATTGTGGCGACGGCAAGTAAAAGACTTCGATTAATATGTTAAAATGATATACTTTGTACTTTTAATGATTTAAAGACTTGAACAAATTAGGTATATGTAATGCAAAATCAAATACAGATGACGTTGAACAAAATGCAGGTATGTGCGTTGATCGTTGACAATGTTGATTGATGGCGATGGGGAAGTGCTGCCCTTGCTACTCGTTCGCGCTCTGATTTTGCAATGAAATCGTTTGCAATCAACTGGATTCTAGTGCTGTAACTGCCAATTTCGTTTTGCCCTCTCATACTTTGTTGCGGCGAATTCGAAGGATGGAAGGACAAGACGAAATTAGGTAGTTCAGTGTTGGGAAACGACAGTTATATAAACATCCGAAAACATTAAAACGTTTGAAATAAATCTCGTCTCACTTTTTTACATTTTTCACTTTGTTGCTGAAGTAATGAAGAATTTTAAATTCATAAAGGAAAATTGTCGTTTTTGTAAGTTTTATCTTAATATCTTTAATACTTGTAGGCTTGTTGAAAAATGATAAATGAACGTGAGGTACTAAATTTAATAACTCTTAACTTGATACATCGTCCTGTTTAAAGCAATTAACGCATTCTATAGATATTACAAGCCAAAGTTTCATTTTCAAAATTCATACACTTTGATTCCTTTGCGCGGGCTAAAGATAAGTTTTAAATAAATGTTTCGTGGCCTATAACGATTGCCTTAGACCTAAGACATCATAATATTACTATTACAATACGGTAAAAAGCCTTTTATTTTCCTCAAAAAAAATTGACCCAGCCTACTGCATATATCTTCATTCTCGCCTAGTGTAACCGCTGCTGATATTTTGTCGTATGCTTCTAAGTCAGCTATAATCGATAAAAAGTGGATGGTTTGCTACCCGCTCATAAAGAAGGATTCTGATATTAGTAAGCTCAGAAAAATGAACTTCAAACTGGGGATTCTGGATTGCGGCTACGAGAAGCTGCTTAAGGCGGACATATGGCCAACGAGTGTGCTGATTCGTCCATTTCGTTTTTTTCAACGAACGGAGCTCCTCAGAAAGAGGCATAACAAACCCTGTGGTAGGAAAAGCAATTAAAATATATTATCAAAATGTTTCCGGCCTCCGAACAAAGTCTCAGGCACTTTTTGAAATGAGTTCTCAATCAGATTATGATAGTTATATACTGATTGAGACCTGGATCAATGCAAATTTTTTCGATAATGAGTTTTTTGATGCCAACTTGTGCAACGTTTTTCGCAAAGACCGACGCTATTTTAAAACGGGACTCTCTAGAGGAGGTGGATTGCTCATAGCAGTTCGACGAAACTATCTATCCTCGCTTGTCCATTTGGTGAACGCGGATACCCTGCTGGATCAGCTCTGCGTTTCTGTCAATGGCTTGTCTAAACTTCTTGTATGCGCTTCCTATGTTCCGCCGTCTAGTGCTGAATCTTTAGATAAAGCGCATGTGAAAATCTTTGTATTGTTGGTGATTTTAACTTGTGTGACATTAACTGGTCTAGTTTGGAAAATAGTCTAGCCTTATATCCCACGAATGTTAACAGTGGCTGTGAATGTTATGTTATTGATAATTTTTTAAGTATTAACCTATTACAAATTAATAGTTTTTCCAATAAACTACCTAGATTCCTAGACCTTATCTTTATTACCTTGACCTTACACTTATTGAGTGCCTCGATCCTTTATCGACTCCCGGTCTACATCATGTCCCTCTTATTCTTCATTTAGAGTTTTATGAGTTTAGACCTATTTTAGCGGATAGTATTCCTACTAGCTTCTGCTATAGAAAATGCAACATTGGTGCTGTAAATGATGCGGTTTCATCTGTAGACTGGGATTCGTTATTTGCGGGTGTCGGTGTTTCGGATTGTGATCTATTATTTTTATTGGCCAAATAATAGACATAAGAACGATTATGAGTGTTAGTCACCCTGTGACATTCCTACATTCTAATTCATATACATACATACGTCAAAATTCAGAATGATAGAATACAAATCGGCAAAAACCAAAGTAGCGGTATCCCTGATGGCGCCACCATTGCTTTTCACCGTACTGTAAATTTCCTCGTCACTACCGAATATTCTGGAAAATCATCTTACCATCATTGGCGAAGAAAATATCGACGAGAGCAGACGTGCCAGACCAAATACAGTGTTGAAACGCGCGCAATTAAGCGTGCCAAGTAGAAGTTCAAATATTTAAACATTTTACATTGCAACTTATTTTAAATAAAACACCAACTACAAGCGTCAATCTACGCCAATCGTCTTATCATTTCTACAGTTTTCAACACTTGCTGGTACGTCTGCGAGGAACAAATTCGAGTTTTCAACACTTGCTGGTACGTCTGCGAGGAACAAATTCGAGTTT